GCCGAGCAAATCAACACCCACCCCCCCCCCCTCATTTTCTTCCACTTACCCACCAAATAACACCTCAGCAACCCATCGGTGTGGTGGCCGCCATTAACGGAAGCTTCTCCGGCAGGAAGTTCCAAGAGATCGTCATTGCGTGGGAAAGCTTCTCGATCTCCTCCGTCCCGACGACACCGGTAGGCTCCAAAACCATGCTTTCCGTCGAAATATTCGGTGTTATTCGCTCCTTGGCTTAGTTCAGGCTTTACTAGATCTCAGAAGGATTAAATCGTGGCTGGTTCTGATTCCTGGAGGATTGTGATTTTGGAGTACAACAAGGGGAAGAGTGTCTTTGATAAAGTTCACCCGGAGATGTTTGGTAAGTCCAGATGCAGTAGGATAGTTCCTGGTTAGTACTTGGCGGTTGACCCCAACGGGAGGGCGGTGATGATTGGAGCTGGCGAAGAAGAAAAAAAGGCGGAAGAATCATCGACGGAAGAATCGTCGGCCGCTCGGGAATGGGTGGGGGAAGGAGAAACGATGGAGTTAATAAGGGAAGAGCTAGTGGTCCACGTGACCCCTTCTCTGTAATTCAGTTTTTTCATTTGTTATTATTATTTTTTTATTTTATTTAATTTGTAAATGATGTGGACAAGCCCAGTCAGTGGCAAATGCTGAGTCAGTGACGGGGAAAATAGTTGACCGTTAATTCTGACAGTCAAACCGTCTCTCGGGCCAAATTTGTCTAATAATTTCAAAAGTAGCCCACAAATGTCTTATTTGAAAAATGGGGCCAGAACTGTCACTAACGCTAAACTTCGGGCCAAACTAGTGTATTAACCCAAGAATATATATGAAAATAGACGAAAGTCTGATGGTCTGTGTTACATTTTTTTTGTTTTTATTATTGTGGTTAAAAAACTAAATCAGTAGGCCAGTATCATGTCTAACAATAAAAACAGTTATCCCAATACCAAACAGTCAAAAAGATGTAATTAGTTTGTTGCTTCAATTCCTCTACTGCCACAGACATAATAGGCGGAGAAATCTCACCCGAACATTATATAAACGGCTGGAGATACCCTCTTACTTCCACCGAACGCGTCGAGCCTTTCTTTGCAACAAAAGCAATTGTAAACAATTACTTTGCATCGCTACCAGCATATCTGTAAGTATACCTGTAATTACTTTCTTCAATCCGCCCAGTTATTTCAGGTATACTTGCATCGCTACCAGCATTCTAAGGTCATAATTAACGAACAGGTATACTTGCATCGCTACCAGCATTCTAAGGTCATAATTAACGAAGATGTGAAATAACTGGGCGGATTGAAGAAAGTAATTACAAGTATACTTACAATATAGATTATTGTTACAAAGAAATTAATGAAGATGTGAAATATGACATTCGTTTAAGAATTAGTTGTACCTTTTTAATTTTGGACCAAGTAATTATGACCTTGAATTCTTTAATAATTTGGACACTATTATGCTACGAAGAAATTAACTATTCGGTAATTTCAGAAATCTAGATTATTGACAACAAACAAAACACACGAAACTCATGCTACTCCTTATCTGTATTAACACGATTCGCAAATGATCCTGAAATTGCTACCTATTTAGTATTTACGTGATTAAGAAATGAAACCGGCCAACCGGTAAGGCACGTGACTAGTCACGGGCCCTGCCGGTTGGCCAGATTCATGTGCCAATTGCATAAATAGCAGTAGCAATTTGTATGTAAGATTCGCGCTTCTTTATTAGTATAAGAAAATCTAGATCTTTTAAAGTCACGGGCACTGCCGGTTGGCCGGATTCATTCGCCAATTGCATAAATAGCAGTAGCAATTTGTATGTAAGGTTCCCGCCTCTTTATTAGTATAAGAAAATCTAGATCTTTTAAATTATCGAACATTCAAATTTCTTGTTAGCATAAAAGAATCAAAATTATTAAAAATACTTCAATCGTTCAAAAGGATCAACATCATTGTATTTTGCGACATCCTGACCAACTCATTAGAAATACCATTTGTCTTCCCGAAAGTAATTTGTGTCAAATGATCAAAATTTCCTTGTGCTTGACTTTTGTTAATTGTTATAGCAAACAAACTGCAATAGGATATTGTCTGCTAACCAATGTGAAATCCAGACTTTTGTAATGAGAAGACTATTTAATCCGAGGTAGAAAGACCCTATCACAAATATGAGTATCTATTAGAATCTGCACTTCAATAAACCATGTGCGAAGTCTCTTGATTATCATCCTTGTACCATTGTAGAGACCTATACTTTGATCCATATTTCTTAATAAAATGACGGGACATCCAACTTTCAACCTAATAGAATGGTATGGGAAATTACTTATCTTCAATGTATTGAGAAAGTCCACTAATTAATCTCCATCTATATGTTGCTTATTACCAGGGTCAATATCAATTGAATCTGATCACTTATAACAAACTTCATCTCTTGAAACCCTTTTCATCACACAATTATTAATTTTTCGATACCTTTTCATGATGTGGAGCCAATATAGCACTGTGAACTACAGAGGTTCCTGCACTGTAATTCGAATGGAGATCAATGTAGACATGATTCACAATATCAACAATTTTATTTCCTTGATCATTTGAAAAGAAAGCTTGCGAAATCAAAGCAAGGCAAGCAGGCGAAGCAGACGAAAAGAAAATTAAGATATCAAAATGCCTAGGAATTGAGTTTTACGAGCTCGCAGAAGAGAAGCGGGAAGTCGAAAACACACCGAGAGTCGGAAATCAATAAATGATCAGGAAAAGGAAGAACCGCAGAATAGGAGTATCCATCAACCGAGTCCATACAGGCTTTCTAGGCCCACTGAGCGTCATCTAGCTGCCCAGTATTTAGACGGTCAAGGTCCAATAGCTTCACGTAAAACCCAACAAGCTAGTCAGCCCCGCCTACAATTTCTCAAAGCTGAACCCACCTCCAATATGTCCCAATACTTTATTATTTTCAATCCATCACTCTTAAAAAAAGAGGAAAGAACAAAGATACAAAGTCACAAATTGCGGCAACTACAATCTACTGTGAAACCAAGAAATGAAATCAAACCCCTTCCCTTCAAGGCCTTTTGAGGATTGGGGGAGGGAGTTTTCATAATAGGAGGGAAAGAATTGAAGGGGTTCAACAAAAGGGGAGAAATTTTTCGCCAATATATTTCTAATTTTCTCTCTTTTCCCTTCTCTCTAAGCCGCTAGCGCCTCCAGCATAATGGATTCTCGTCGGGGAGCCTCCTGCCGTGTGCGATTTCTTTGATTCTTGCAGGTGATGACGGTGAGAATCGCTTTTTCTTTGAGAATGTGTTAGTGTGGTTACTCAATTTTGAGTAATCACGGTGGCTACCAAAATATGCACCATTCATGATGTTTGTTTCATCCAATTTTTATATTGACGATGAGGATTAGATTAATGATAATTTTGAAAATTAAAAAAAAATACCACAGCAAATTTCTATCTTTTAAAAAATTAATTTATATATATTATACCCCAACCCTAATATAACTTTATTCTCCATCAGCCCTCACTCCCTGTACCGTTGTTGCCGCACCCACCCCTCCGCCACCCTCCTCCCCTCCAATGCAAACTCTCTCTCTCTCTCTCTCCATGGCCATATGTTGCTAGCCACCATCTCCTCCACCGCCCTCCTTCCCTCTCTTCCTCCCTCCCTCACACGCCCTCTCTCTCTCTCTCTCTCTCTCTCCAAGAGACGGCTGCGTGGTGGCAATAATCTCTCTCTCCCTCCCTCCCTCCCTCAATCTATCCATCATATACCAGTAGAACATAAAAATTTAGATCTGTTTTTTTTTTATTTTGATTTGGTACTGGTTCATTGTTTTGTTTTATGAAACGGTATCATATTGTTTTTTGTTTTCTCACATTGGTATTGTTTTTGTCGTATTGGAATTGATTTTGTCGCATTGGTATTGTTTTTGTCACATTGGTATTGATTAAATCTGCATTTGTATTGGTATTTTGTGAAATGAGAGTGTTTTTATTTCTCGAATGATATTTGTGTTTTGTGAAATGGTAGTATTTTTTTAATGGATTGATATTGATTTATTGTTGTTGCAGCGGTATTAGTTTGGCTAAACGAAATCAAGGAAAGATTGAGAAAACGAAGGAAGAGAGATCTGGCTGAAGATTGTGTAAGTGAGAGAAAGAGAGAGAAAAAAATTGTAGTTAATGTATTTATGTAGATAGTGACGGGCCCGGCCGGTTGGCCGGTTTTATTTTCGAATCGCGTAAATACTAAATAGGTATAATGTCGGGTTCATTTGAGAATTTTGTAAATACAAAATAGGAGTAGCATGAGTTTCGCGTGTTTTGCTTGTTTACAAAAATCTAGATCGCTTAAATTATCAAGATATAAATTTCATTGTAGCATAAAAGAATCCAAATTATTATCGTGCTTCAAGCATTTATAGTAAGAACAACATAGTATTCTGGGACATCCTAACCGAATCGTCGAACATAATTAATTTACGAAAAATAAACGACAAACCCTTTAGCATGTAACCGAATTCTAAATTGTTTTGAATAGCCCTTATCTTTACTCATCGCCAGTGTCATGCTCGCCCTCATCCTTCCTTTGAGGTGCTTCCATGATTTTCACCGGTGGATTTGGTCCATTGCCGTCATTGTTATCAACAAAAAGGATTGATAATTACTTCCGTTTTGGTTTGCTCGACATCAAACTCATAACACGCAGGCCAATATGGTGAGTAAATATTTTAGATCTTCGCACTAGCTACAAAATTAATTACTTCTGAAGAGGTGGAATTAATTTTACCTGTAAATTTAGCAGTTGTTTGATTGAATGTCGGTTAGTTAGTGTCAATGTTTGATGAATGAAAATAAGGTAATTAAGTTGTTGCCTTACTGTCATATGGAATGATGCATAAGAAAGTAATAATCAGGATGAGAGGTTGGTTGCCGCATTTTCAAGGATTGAATTTAGTTGGGGACTATCCTACCAAGGATTTCATGACCGCTCTCAGGTATTTTCCGGCGACGGAGGAAGAGGACAACGGGATCGCCCCACACCAAGATGGCAACTGCATCACGTTCGTGTTCCAGGATGAGGCCGGAGGGTTGGAGGTGTGTCGAGACGGAGTCAGCTGGATCCCGGCCACTCCTAAACCGGGCGCTATCGTCGTCAACGTCGGCGATGTTATCCAGGTATATATAGCTACTTCATTAGCGACAAAAAAAAAAAAACGAATAATTATTAATTAAAAAAAGTAGGAATCAATGTGAATTAACAAGACACATGACACACTTGTGCATTTCTTTTCTTTTCTTTTGATCTCACTCCCACGCACTACCCCCGCCATTCCCCATACGCAGACGCATATATAATAATAAATTAATGAAGACAAACAAAGCAAAAGAAAACAACAAACTTCAACCCGTAAAGTCAAATTTAGCTCCCCAAATAGCCTAATATGGCTTTTTAGCTCCCCAAATCCCATTTTCACTCCAACCCTACACAAAGCTAAATTTCGCTTCCCATCTCCCTTTTTTCAATTTATTACAATAAACCATACTTATTTGACCTCTAATTTTCATATTTCACTTTAATTATTCTATAGTTAGTTATTACTTTTGAAAACAAAATTTTCGATGTAATTTTTTTTTTAAATTCCGAGACAAAAAATATTTTGGAAAATTAGTCATTATTTTGTTACCGTTAACTTCGGGATCAATGAGAAAATACCAATTAAACATACAACAATTCATATCTTCTTTCAAACAATTAAACAAACAACATACACAATCAACCAATGACAAAATACCACACAAAAAAAGAAAAAAAGAAAACAACACAATCAACCAATGAGAAAATTCCACAGAAACAAATAAAAAATAAAGGAGGACCCGCCGCGGGTCCACCATTTTCTCTAGCCAAATTTGGCTTTTCCACTCTTTTGGGAGCTAAATTTGGCTCCCAATTCACCAATACCCATTTTTAGCTCCCCAAAATAATGTGGGTTGGAGCACCAAAAAAGAGCTAAAAATGGGTAAATGGCTTTTTAGCTCTAGGGTTGGAGTCAGTCTTAAGGTCATGAAAATGGGGTATAGGCATGGGATAATTCATAATTCAACCCTTCTCTTGGTGTCCCAATCCATTTGCTGTCCATGTGTTCGGCACATCATCACCATTATGCGGGGGTTCATTTTTCTTTTCATCTCCAGGCATTGTTTGTGTTTACACTTATAAATTAATCTCATATTACATCGGCCAGCTCAATATTAATAATTAAAAGAGTTAGTTGGACCTTATTAAATTGGGTTTTTGGGCCTGATCATCAGTGTTGTTGGATTCCATCAAAATTAGTCCTTCTTTGACGAGGTCTCAAATGAAATGATGATATGTACTGGCTGATCACCAATGGCTTTGATCTGGTTGACTCTCTATTCCACACGAGAATGAAGTCTTTAATAGTGTTAGTTTCGTTCATCACCAAGTTCTCAAACTAACGCTGTAAATTTTGACGCCTAATGGAGATCGTCTTCTCAGAAATTTGAAATTGTTCACATAAGACATCCCAAGCTTCTTTGGCCTTTTTGATGTCATGAATTCTTGGGTAAAATGATCTGCCCGCGAGGCTGCGACTTGCTGAATAATTCTCAGCGCATTGGCATTTTGCTTGGCCTTCTCCTTATACTCCTTTGTTTGATTACCTGGCCGTTTCTTGGAGTCTTCTTCCTCTTCTTGTGGGTCTTCATAGCCTTCTTGGATGGTATTCCACAGATATTGAGAGATCAAATTAGGCTCAATTTGAGCACTCCAATACTCATACGATTCTCCATTGAACATGGGAATTTGATTTCAAGAGGTGGCAAACATGGTATTTAATGAAGGAGCACCTCTACTATGCTATAAAGCATTGGATCTTTAATGTACAACTTGAAGTTGTACCATAACGTTAAATGTATAAGTTCAAACTGTACCACGAAGGAATGTACCCTTACGTTATGGTACAACTTGAAGTTGTACCATCACATAAAAGTACAAGTTTAATTTGTACCTTAAAAGAATTTATACAAAAGAGCATATGTACAATATGAAGTTGTGTACCATGCATAATGTTAAAGGTACAATTTCAAGTTGTACCATAAAGACAAACTTATAGCACCAATGCTATATAGCATTGTAAAATTTCTCTTAATGAAGTTGTTCCCATGACTTTTGGAGAAAGTTTGTACATACTAGAAAGCTGGAAATATTTGAGAGGATAGAATTTGATTTAGCTGAAATGTGATATGATTTAGAATCAATGCATAACTAGAAAGCTGGAAATATTTGAGAGGATAGAATGTGATTTAGCTAAAATGTGATATGATTTAGAATCAATGCATAGCCAATATTTGTTATTTTAATCACTCAATCTAGAATTCACTGAACATGGTCTCATTAATTTGTCTTATGCTTTAAACTCACCACAATGAGACACACGACACACTTGTGCCTTCCTTTTCTTTTCTCTTGATCTCACTCCCACTCACTGCACTCTACCATTACCCATACACGGATACATATATATTGCATAAATGAAGACAACAAAGCAAAAGTAAACAATAACTAATAGTAATGGAAATGGGGTATATACATATGATAATTCAACCTTTCTCTTGGTCCATGCATTATTACTTCATCTATATCCTGGCGATTTATATCCTAACATATTGGCATGGCTCTTCCTTAATCTCTCCCTCTTTGTTTTCAACATATTTTCGATAGAACTTTTATGCAATGCTTACTCTAATTAATACTATTTCATCGTTAGTAAACAAAATTTCGTGTTTCCTATCATATAGGTGTGACTAAAGAAAATGATAAACTATTTTTAAATTCTCGTATATGCATGTCTTAAATTTTCATTGAATTCTATCGATCGATTAATTATGCAATTAGGTGTTGAGCAACAACAAGTTCAAGAGCGCAACGCACAGGGTGATTCGGCCAAAAGGAAGGAGCCGCTACTCGTATGCTTTCTTCTACAACTTATTGGGGGAGAAAATGGTGGAGCCATTGTTGCAGTTCACTGAACATCTTGGGGAGCTGCCGAAGTACCGCAAGTTTCAGTACGGAGAGTATATGCAATTGAGGATGAGGAACAAATCTCATCCCCCAGAAAACCCTAAAGATGTTATCCACATTACCCACTACTCCATCAACTAATAACTCCTACAATGTTCACTAAACATCAATCCTTATGTTCCAAGGAGTTTGAAATCAAATAAATTGTACTGTGTGATTGTTGTCTTGCTTTTTTTTTTTTTGTTATAATGATTTGCAGAGTAAATTTGGACATATTGTACATATTTATAGATAGTTTATATTACAATTTAAGGAAAAGGTCCAAAAGGCCTTTGAGGCATCAAAATTTGAGCCATAAGTGTAAAAGTCCACATCCCTTGTGTGGTTAGCTATCATTAAGTCTATTTCTTTCTTTTATTGAAATATGCTAGAACCATTTTCGACGGTGTCCTAATTTACTAATAACACGGTGGTATGCGTAATTATCTCAACCATATCATGGAATTAGTTGTAATAGAATAGAAAAAGTGGGTTAGATAAGAAAATGTATTTTGGCTACTAGTTTCGGACCCGGCCAGTTGGCCGGCTAAATTTCATCAATGGTATAAATAATAATAGCCATATATGTTGTAATGTGCATTTTTCTTAGTACTGCATAATACAAAGGAACCAAATTCTACAAAATTATATACCCACACTTTATTTAACTGCTTTTCATTACAAATTATTGCAAAAAGTGTCATAGATTTCCTTTTATTTAAGTTGTCCTCTTGTTGAATTGGAATTTGATAATAATAATTATTAATTTTTTGAATTTATATTCTTCTCTCATTTGTGATAATGCCAATTTTTTCTCAAAGTTCATTCTTTTCATGTTTATGTGAAGAATATAAATAAAAGATACCAATTTTACAAAGTAATATACTTCTTATTTGCGACCATAAGAGAATACGAAATATTCAATTATTTGAAAATTGAAATTTTGACATACACTATATAGTTTTCCAACAATTATACCGAGTCATCTATGGAAGTCCTTATTGAAATTAAAATCAAGACTAAAGCAAGGAATCTGAATTCTAAAAGAACTCATTTCACTATGCTTTGTTAAACATTAGAGCAATTTTCTTTTGGCTTCTTTACCATTGACCCACCATCAACATGTTTTTCTTTCAACCATTAACAATATAACTATATTCATCACCAACCTGTACTATCTCCACTGTTAAATGTCTCTTGTTTCTTCTCAACAACGTTGTTATCCGTATCAGTGACTCCACTGCCTCATTTCATTGGTAGTAAATTGGAAGCCAAAACTTATGCAAATATGAAACTTATTATCACGCAAAATAAATTTATCGTATCCAGGTCATTTGCATTAATCATTGGAGATGTGTTCATTCCCATCTATGATTAATTATCTTTCAAACTATTAATTCACGTATGAGATTTGTGATTTACTATTATGTCATTCATATTATTTTGACTCCATAACCTCATTTTGTAAGAGAAGGGGAAAATGATGTTATCTTCTGCCACTATTTTGAAATAATTTCTCAGCATTGTACAACTCCAAAAAAATTAGATTGAGATTCATCCATTGCACTCCAAAACTACATAGTCATATTCATCATTTTTCTTCACAACATTAAATTAGATTGAGATTCACTTTCAAAATATGCCCAAAAACCCTCCACCCTTGCAAGCTTACTTGCCCTCCACTTTATAATGTAACACGTCTTCTTTTACTCCCTTGCATAACCCCGTATAAACAATTCTAATTAAGTTATAATAACAACAATCAATAAACCAATTATTTTCATACAATATAACCCTTACAATTAAAGAATTTACATATGTCTTCGTAAAATACAGTTTATAGGTAATGAGTATTAAAAAGTTTTACATAAGCTATTACACAAATCTCATGTTATTGGGTTTATAAAGTGTTGTGTAAGATCGATAAACCTGAAAAATCTCCATAATGTATCACTCGAAAACAACTATAACAATTTTTGGCACACTTGATGGACCTTACAATCTATACCTTTTAGTTTTCATAAGAGTCACCTCATCTTAAAATCCTAGATAGGCAGTGGAAAATAAACAATCTCACCAAAAATATGGAATTTGATAACATATTGCATGAAAAGAAACATCAAACTAATGGATTACTCATAGGAATGTAGACAATTCTCATGTATATACGCTTGGATTACGTATAAAATATTTAAGATCGAATTGAAGCATTATTTGACTGATTGGATGACTTTTCAGATAATATTTATTTGAGAAATTGAATTTTCAAAAATAATTGCTAAAAAAATAAAAATATAAAGGACAATTTTAACAATAATCGAGATAAAATATATTTAGTAGCTAAATCAATGAGTGACAACGTGTTAGACATAATGATGTTGTCATTTTTGGCATAATACCGTGAAACTATTTGCTTCAACATGCAGAACCACCTTAGAGAATATAACAAAAAATCATATAGCAAGGAATTCATGACAATTTAGTTAACCATTCATCCATAAGAATGTATTATTTGGATTATATTTTACAGTTCATTATCTTTAGAGATGGACAATTTATTAGGGGCAATTCATCATGACTAAAACATGAATTTTGCATTCCATAGATGTTTCACTGTTCGAAACTTACAACAGTAAGAAGCCTTCAATTCGAGGAATTAAATGTTGTAAACGCATTCATAATTAAGAAATAATTTCTGGTGTTAGGTATATTTACAATGATGTCGGATAGAATGACAACTTTTACCCAACCTATGTTACATAATCTATTTGATCTGTTTAAAGTGGGTAATCCCCACTCCGTAAGCGGGGCGGGACGAACATGTGTACTTTCTTGGACCCGACTTGTCATATGACATCCTCATTTTTTGTTTGCTTTTTCTAAATAATCTATAATTTTACTTAAACTGCTTATAATTTTATTTTTATTGTCTCATATTTTGAGACAATAAAGTTGTAAATAAGTGAGAATCTCAATTACTTGAATAAGTTAACTAAATTAATCATATTATACTTGGTTTCTTATTTTTAATAAAAAATCATTGTTTCTAATATTTTCAATTCAAATTATATGTCCATATGGATGAACCTGTCCCAATCATTGTCCTAACAAAAAATTATCCAACTGACCTGATGCCAACGAACGAATATGAATATTGAAATACTCGCCCGAGCTCCCGATTGCCATTATTAATGCCAAAGGGATTATGCAAGGAGAAGTCGGAATTGGGCAGGTAAAGTTAAGCAATGTAGCTTGAATAAAACAAATGCCGCAAGAACTGAAGTTTGAATTATATTTTTTATTACAAACAATTGGAGCTCATATTAATTTGCCTTTAGCTTTAACCCATCAAATTGTTGCTAAAATACCGAGTGAGTGAAAAGACTGTGCAGTCCTTCCGAACTGTGCGTAGAGACTAGCAAAAACTTAAATTGTTGGGTACTCTAGGAGAACGTCTTTATATTATTTGTAGGATGTGCGCAGAGACCAGCAAAAACTGAATTTGGTGGGTACTCTAGGAGGACGTCTTTATATTATTTGTAGGATATACCTGCAATTGTGAAAAGAGTTATATAGAATAACATAATACAAGAACTTTTCTAAATCCTTCTATCTCTTTGTTCTTTTTCTCCTCCTTTCTATCCTTCCTCAATCTTACCCAAGCAAAAGAACCCTCCGTCCCATGTCCGTGATGTTGTAATGATAACTCACGGTCCTCGAGAAGAGGGGGAAGCAAATATTAAAATGAGGCTCGATCGGATGCTTGCGTCGGCGAGTCTACTACAACTATACCCACATCAGTAGCCTGTCAAACTTCAACTCCGATGGACGGCGTCAATCAACATAGTTTTCTGGCAGCAGTGCTTGTTTGCCGATGGCCCACGGTGACCTTTCCAAAATCTTTCTATGCAAATTCTTGTTTTGTTGAATTTACCACTTTTTTCTTCCCAGTTCAATATCTTTATCTCAATTCATAGATAAAATTGACCTTTCTTCAGCGCAATCGTTACAAATTGTTGTTAGAGTCTTTTTCTTGCAACCTTGCAATTTCTCAGCCTCTCTTATCGTTGGCCGAACAATTAAACTTCATTTGGAATCAAGAAAAAACATTTTGAATTTGGTTAGTTAACTTGGAAGCCACACATCAATCATGGTGAAACTCACCAAATTTATAGCTCCTCCTCCATGCATAAAGAGAGATTTTGAAACCCTTGAGAAATTCCAGAACACTTTTTCTAGCTCACGAAATTTCCAATTCCTTCTCCAGCTCACAGAATATACATAATTCCCAATTTCTCTTGTTCTTCGATTAATACTACTATCACGACTTTGTTCTCTCACCTTGCGGGTGTTCTCGAATTTAGCAAATCGATAAAAAGATAAATAAAGAGGTAAAGTCAAATACGAACAAAATATAATAAAATAAAAAGAAAGTCATAAAAATTTAACGAAATGAGAGGAAAGCGAAGGAAGAACGTAGCATCTTGTGTCATTGGTTCATATGACACTTTTGTTCTTTCATGGAGAAAAAGAAAATTTTAAATTGCCTTCATATTTGAAATCGATAAAAAAAAGAGATCAATAAGATGGCACGAATCAAATACGGAAAAAAATGTCAATTTTAGAATTAAAAAAAGATAAAATAAAATAAAATTACCAAATGGTTCTTATATATGTGATTAAAAGAAAAAGGGAAATATGTATAATGTGTCCACTTTCAAATGAAAGAAAAATGACAAAATAAATGAAAATCAAGTAAATATGTGACCCCAATGAATAGCCTAAAATTCATGTAAATTACAAAAACCCCGTTATCATTAACCTCATATATGACTTCGAGCCGGAGAGATGATTTAAAATAAAAAATCAAATATGAAAGCTTTTCTTGACAAAGAAAGATGAATAAGAATATAAAATCAAATACGAAAAAATTAATTTAAATATAAAACAAAATATAAGAGAAATGAAATATGGAGAACATATGTTAAAAGGTACAAATAATAAAATGTTGTGATATGTTTCCTTAAAGATTTCCATATGTGACTTTTGGAAGGTTGACCCTTAAACTTTGGTAAAATTATCAAAAACCTCTTAATGAATAGTAGAAGGAAATCAAGGTTTTTATATAAGAAAATAGGTGTTAGCACCCTATCCGTTTTCGTATTTAACATTAAAATAAAGAATCAAGTCTCTAGGCATCTGTAGAGACAAAACACCTAATTCATGTATTTTTTCATTTGTTCACGTTAATTTGAGCTTATTCACGTTATATTTGCATTATTCATATAAGAGTATTGATTATTCACGCAACTGATAACATCG